CATGAAGAAAGCAAAAAGTCATTAAGAAAACAAGAAAGAAGGAAAAGGTCAAAATGGATGTCAGAAGAGACACTGAAACTTGATCTCCAGCGTAGAGATGCTAAAGCAAATGGGTAGAAATGAGGAGGTCTAAGAGCTGAACAGAAAATTTCAAAGATCAGCTCAAGAAGATAAAGCCAAATATTACAACAAAATGTTCAAAGCTCTGGACTCAGAAAACCAAACAGGAAGAATACGCTCGCTTTTCTCAAGCTGGGGAATCTGAAGAAAAAATTCAAGCCTTGACTTTTGTTATCGAAGGATTCTCTGGGCAAATTATTGAACTATGCAGAAAGCATCAAGAGAAGATGGAAGGAATACACAGAGTCACTACCAAAAGGAAATGGTTAATGTTCAACCGTTTCAAGAGATAGCATATGATCAAGAGCCAATGATACTGGAGGAGGAAGTCCAAGGTGTCTTGAAGGAATTGGCAAAGAACAAGGCACTAGGAATTGATGGAATACAGATTGAAATCTTTCAAGAAAGTGAGGCAGCACAGGAGACACTCACTCATCTCTGCCAAGAAATTTGGAAGACCACTATCTGGCCAACTGATTGGAAGAGATCCATATTTGTGCCCATTCCAAAGAGAGGTGACCCAAAGGAATGCGGAAATCAGACAATCTCTTTGATATCCCATGCAAGTGACATTTTGCTAAAGGTAATACAGAAACGGCTACAATCATACATTGACAGAGAACTTCCAGAGGTTCAAGCCAGATTCAGAAGAGGCTGTGGAATGAGGGATATCATTGCTGATGTTCAATGGGTCTTGGCTGAAAGCAGAGAATATCAGAAAGATGTTTACCTGTGCTTTATTGACTACACAAAGGCTTTAGATTGTGTGGATCATGACAAGCTATGGACAACATTGTGAAGTATGAGTATTCTGGAACACTTAATTGCGCTTATGAGGAATCTGTACCTGGACCAAGAAGCAGTTGTTCGAACAGAAAATGGGAACACTGAATGTTTTAAAATTAAGAAAGGTGTGCGACAAGGTTGTATTCTTTCACCATACTTATTCAACCTGTATGCTGAGCAAATAATGTGAGAAGCTGGGTTCTATGAAGAAAAACGTGGCGTCAGGATTGGAGGAAGACTCATTAACAAGCTGCGATATGCAGATGATACAACCTTGCTTGCTGAAAGTGAAGAGGACTTAAAATATTTACTGATGAAGATCAAAGAGCACAGCCTGTGGTATGGGTTACATCTCAATGTAAAGAAACCAAAAATCCTCACCACTGGACTAATAAACAACGTTCTTATCAATGGAGAAAAGATTGAAGTTGTCAAGGATTTCATTCTTCATGCATCAACTATCAACACTCAAGAAAGCAGCAGTCAAGAAATCAAATGACATATTGCATTTGGAAAATCTGCTGCACAAGACCTTTTTAAAGTGTTGAAGAGCAAAGATATCAGCTTGAAGACTAAGGTGCACCTGACCCAAGCCATGGTGGTTTCAATAACCTCATATGCATATGAAAGCTGGTTAAATAAGGAAGACCGTAGAAAAATTGATGCATTTGAGTTATGGTATTGGAGGAGAATATTGAAAGTGCCATGGAGTTCCAAAAGAATCTATAGATTTGTGTTGGAAGAATTGCAGCCAGAGTGCTGTTTGGAGGCCAGGATGTCCAAACTTCGTCTCTCATACTTTGGACATATTGTCAGGAGGGACCAGTCGTTGGAGAAGGATATCATGTTGGTAAGCTGGAGGGTCATAGAAAAAGAGGAAGAACCCCAATGAGATGGATTGGCCAAGTAGCAGCATCGATGAACTCAAGCATGGCAACTATAGTGAGTTGTCCCAGGATCGGGCAGTGTTTCGTTCTGCTGTGCATAGAGTCGCTATGCATCGGTACCGACTTGATGGCACCTAACAAGAACAACATGGGACCAAATGGAGAATTTTGCTAAATGCCTGAGAAGCTCAAGCACTGAAGATTCCTAGTGTCCTTGGTATTTCTGAATATGCCAGAATTGAATTTGATACCAATTGGGACAAGGGTACAAATCCTATAAAGGTATCATTCTTGAAGTGCTAGATAAGGTTTAACATTTTCAAAATGGCTTAAGACTTGAGGGTAGGATGTACTTGCTAAGTATTGAGTAAGACCCAACATTCTATCAATTCTACTTAAGATCATTTATATTAAATTATTGCTCAGTCCTGGTGTGGCATTTGGGTTAATGTGCTGGCCTGCAAAGTCGGTTTGAACTGCCAGGTCAGTGGTTCAAGCTCAATAGGGGCTCCTCAGAAATCCTGTGCATGGTCGCTGTGAGTCAGAACCGACTTGATAGCACTTAACAGCAATAACTACTAAGTGGTAGGCACTGAAATGGGGACTGCTATAGGGAAGTGTGGCATCCTGGTCTGACTGTAAGATAAGCATTAGAGTGTAGATTGGTTTGTACCACCAACTGCTCCTTGGGAATCCTATACAGGGTCATTATGAGACAGAACCAACTAGGTGGCACTTAACAACAAATACAACGTAGCTAGTATCTATAAATGGGAGGGTGATGTATCAGAATTTCTAGATAAGATTTTTGAGCTCCCATGATCCAGTCCTGTTGATAATCTGGCATTGTGTGTTACTCTTTTAGTATATCATAGCTTTTGGGTTCATTCATGCTCCATCACAGAGATCTTATAACCCTGCCACATAGTTACTGGAAGATACTATGCATCTAAGGAAGCTCTGGTGGTGCTGTGGGTTAGTCATTGAGCTACGAATGACAAGGTTGGTGATTGCAACCCACCAGCCAGTCTATGGTAGGAAGTTGAGGCTGTCTGTTCCTGTAAAGATTTACAGTCTTGTAAGACTTACAGTGAATTACCATGAGTCAGAATCAATTTGATGGCAGTGGGTTTATTTTTGGTGGGTGACAGAGTGGTTATGTGGTCAGCTCATAACTAAAAAGTCTGCAGTTCGAATTCACAAGTTTCTCAGTGGGAGAAAGGCGATTACAGCATTGAAAACCCTACGGGAAAGTTCTACACTGTTCTGTCAGGTCACTATGAGTTGGGATTGACTTGGAAACAATGGTTTATTCTGCTTTTATGAGGGTCCTAGGTAATGCAAACAACTTGGAATTGACTGCTAACCTAAAGGTTGGTCTGGATACTGGCTTCCATAATGTTTTCATGGCATGGGGTTGCTATGAGTCACACTTGGCTTGAGGGCAACAAACAATAACAACAATAAAAACAAATCTCTATGGACAAATCACCAGACCTGTCTTCTGCAGTGTGGGTGTGAACCACCAACCATTAGGTCAGTAGACAAGCAGAAACTATTTGATACACTCAGGGACCTGACCTCTCCTTTGTTGTTATTGTTAAGTGCCATTGAGTCAGTTCTGACTCATAGCGACCCTGTAGATGCTTTTTAAGGAGCCGCTGGTGAGTTTGAACCTCTGACCTTGTGATTCAAACCAAACTTCCAGTCCAGTGCATTAACCTGAAGTGACACATCAGGACTCCAATGGGAATGCTCCAGGTGACACCTAAACATCTAGGGTACAACAAAAATTCTTTGGAATAAAAAAGAAATAGCTTTGATCGCAGTATAGTTCTAAGATTTCTCTTGGAGACACACTGCAAGTTTCTTTGGGTAGGGACCGACCAACTTTCATGTGCAGGCATGCTATGCTGCCGTTGATAAATGCTTACTATTCGATTAAGCATGTAGAAGATGATAAAAGTCCACTAATTGGGTATATAGGTGAATCTACCCTTTGCCTTGAAGTCCTGGTGTGGCTCTGTGGGTTAATGCACCAGACTGCAAAGTCGTTTGAACTGCAAGGCGGGTGGTTCAAGTTCACTAGCTGCTCCTTGGAAACCCTATACAGGGTCGCTATGAGTCAGAATCGACTCGCCAGCATTCAACAACAACAACAACCCTTTGCCTTGGATGAAATGATGAAGCCCACCTCATCTGTATCTATCTCCTAAGTCACCTGTCCCTTCCTGCCTACTCTCCCTTTCTTCTTTCCCTGTTCACTGTTGACTGGGAAGTGAGGGAAGATTGGCACCATGGCTTTTAACTATAAACAAGAGATTGGCCTGAACCATTTTAGTTATTAGATTTATCCATTTAGATTTATGTAGATAAATAAATCAAGTGCTTTGTGGTTGATTTGTAACTTTTATACAACTCGTATTTGGCTCTCTAATCCTATTATTTTCAAACACTTTGGTACATGTATTACTCAACTGGCTCACCATAGTCATTTGCAGACACCAGACAGATCTCTTCCATCCATTTATTCATTATTCTGTTTTTATTGCATTAAGACCTCAGATTTCTGCATTCTTCAAATATCTAGTAAGAAATGGAGTATGTATAATCAGCTCCTCAAAGAATCGAGTGTAACATTTCAGTGGTGTTTGCAAAGTATCACCATGGTTGTTGTTGTTGTTATGTGCCGTGGAGTTGGTTCCGACTCATAGCAACCCTGTACAGGGTTTCTGAGGCTGTAAATCTTTACTGGAGCAGAAAGCCTCATCTTTCTCCTGCGGAACAGCTCGTAGTTTCAAACTGCTGACCTTGCTGTTCGCAGCCCGATTCGTAACCACTACACTACCAGAGCTCCTTATCACCGTGGTAGACACCATGAATTTTATTCTATAGGTATTTTTTTCAGTTTCACAGCTTCTACTGGTTTTAGCCTATCTACTCCTCTGAATGTTTTGTGAGCTGCCTCACATTCAGAGTTGAACTGCCACTGGAAAGCAGGCAGGTAATTGCCCATGTTGCCAAGAAGAGTTGGTTGTATTATTATTTCCAGTGTTCCCTGACTTTCCCCTATTGTTCCTCCATTCAAAGTACAAATAGGACATGCAACTCCATAATCCAGGGCAGCCTGGAGGCATCCTTAGGTAAATTAGTTTACATTTGCCTTCATCATGGGCTGAAACTGATAAGAGTATAAATCATTTCTATGGCTGGCTGTTGGCTGCTTAGAGGAAAAGCTACAAAGATGTCCATTTACAAGAAATTAGTGATAATAATTTCAGCTTTAGCCCACACATAAACATCTTGTGATGCGACTTTTTATTGCTTTCACTGGTGTCTTATGAAGGCAAATTTGCACAAACTATTATTTATTCAAGCTAATAATGATGATGCTATACTGGATAACACGATACTATACTAGGTAACAAGGAGCTCTGGTAGTATAGTGGTTATGAATCAGACTGTTAACCTCAAGGTCAGCAGTTCGAAACTACCAGCTGTTCCGTGGGAGAAAGATGAGGCTTTCTGCTCCCGTAAAGATTTGCAGCCTTGGAAACCTTGTACAGGGTTGCTATGAGTCGGAACCGACTCCACAGCACACCAAAACCACCACCAGTTAATTAGCATGTCACCATCAGCAAACAGGGTTCACATTCAGGCCATCCAGGTCATTGCTGTGCCATGCTTCCTGCCAATATCATCAGCATTCCCAACGTAACTCCTAACGTATGTGCACCTCCAGCTTTCCACCCACTTTCTAAGGCACTAACCACTAGCTGCTCCTTGGAAACCCCATACAGGGTCGCTATGAGTCAGAACTGACTCAACAGCATTTAACAGCAACAACAATTCAAGATGCAGGTGTAACTGGTGGTTCAGAGATATAACTTTCTCCTTCTATGCGGGAGAGCAACCTCCACCCATTGGTAAGTTGAGGCTCATTTGTTGCTGTGATGCTGAACAGGTTTCAAAGGAGTTTCCAGACTAAGATGGACTAGGAAGAAAGACTTGGTGATTCACGTCCCATAAATTTCCCATGAAAATCCTATGGGTGATAGTTCATTCTGTTGTGCATGGGGTCACCATGCATCAGAGCCGATTTGACAGCACTTAGCAATTAGCATAGTGGTTGTGAATCGAGCTGTGTACTGCAAGGTCAGAAGTTAGAAACTACCAACTGTTCCGTGGGAGAAAGATGAGGCTTTCTGCTCCCGTAAAGATTTACAGCCTCGGAAACCCTGTACAGGGTCGCTATGAGTCAGAACCGACTCCACGGCACATAACAACAACAACAACAGCAATTCAGAAGTACTGGTGTGGCACTGTAGGAAAAGCATTGAACTGCTAACTGCAAGATCAGCAGTTCAAACCCACAAGCTGCCTCTCAGAAACCCTGTACAGATTCGATATGAGTCAGAATCAACTTGAGGACACTTAACAACAACAACTCAATAGGCACCTACAATAAGAAGCCTGTTGGTACCATTGGAGCACATTCAAGTTTTCCTCTGCCTTAGTTTAGTTCATTACATTGCTGCATAGGTCTCTAAATAGACTGGTAGCTCCCTAAGAGAGGAAGGGAGGAAGGAGAATGGGCTTTACATCTTACTGTATTTCTTCATGTTATCTCTTTTATGCTTTCCAACTTCATCCCATGTAATAATTAGGATTCTGTGTCAACTTGGCTAGGTCAGGATACCCATGGTTTAGCAGTTAAGATGTGCTCATTCCCAGGTAATGAAACCTAATACAGGCAGTTAACTCTATGATGAGTGGTTATGAGCAGCCAGTCAACTGAAAAGATGCTTCCTTGGGAGTGTATGGCCTGCTCCCAATATAATGGACTTGTGGGAAAAGCTCTCTCTCTCTCTATATATATAAACATATATATGTATGTATATTTGCCCGATTAGTGTTTCTGAGGAGTGACAGGTGAGCTTGTTGTTCAAATGACTCTGCAGTCCAATGCATTAACCAAATATGTGTGTGTGTGTATTTGTTGTTGTTAATTAGCGTGGAGTCGGTTCCAATTCATAGTGACCCTGCACAGGGCTTCCAAGGCTGCAAATCTTTATGGGAGCAGAAAGCCTCATCTTTCTCCCATGGAACAGCTGGTAGTTTTGAACTGCTGACCTTGAGGTTAGCAACCCAATTCGTAACCACTGCATTACCATATATATATATGTTGTTGTTGTTAAGTGCCATTGAGTTTATTTTGACCCATGTATCCCTGTATAGGATTTCCAAAGAGTGACTGGTGAGCTTGAACTACCAACCTTGTGGTTCAAACCAACTTTGTAGTACAGTGCATTAACCCACAGTGCCACCCCAGGACTCTATCTATCTATCTATCTATCTATCTATCTATCTATCTATCTATCTATCTATCTATCTATCTATCACTGGTTTTGCTAGAAATGCCCGTCATAGACATGTGATACTGAGAAAGTTGGGTTCTAGAGCAAGAAAACCACAAGGATGAGTTTTTGAAATTGGTACTCAAATCTGAATAATTTTAAAGGGACAGATAAAGGGTGGGGTTATTTTTGACCTTCACTTCATAAGAATCTGCTTTGGGCTGATTTTGAGGTTGGTCCTCTATTCCCCTTGTGGAGTCTGATGAAGTCAGACATAGTCCCCACTTGGTTTAAGCCACTGGCATCAGGAGCAGGATTCACTGTAATGGCTCCTGACTCATGGACGTATGAGGTTTTGTAAGAGAAAGAATGAAAGGGTATGGGATAAATGCTTCAGCTGAGGGGAGAGTAGCTTTTGGAACTGCCTGGAGCCTGTGTCATGCTATTTAAATGGGGCCAGGGCCTACTGGAATCCAGAGTCCCAAGATCATTTGCACATGAATGGAGTTAGTTCAAGGGAGAAGAAAAGATTAAACTTGAGTTTTTAAAAAAGGTTTGTATTTTTGATTGCCTTTTGAATATTGGTTTCTTCTGTTATTATTGTAAAATAGACATACAAGTGTGATAGTAATGAATACTGGGTGTGATGATTACAAAGAATTTGTAAGCCTATTCTTGATTGGATTTGCTAAAAGGGGAGTTAGAATTTGCCCAGAAAGATATAGGCTTTTTCCTTTTATCCTTTGTAGAGTATGGGGCATTAGGTGGAATCCTGAGACCCACCAAGAACCTTAAAAGTTGGAACATTTGCATTTGAAAAGACATACAGAAAAAAAGTGGGATATTTGGGTTTTTGAAATTTAAACAAGCTGTTTGCTTTGGAAGCATCAAGACAAGGAAAGTCAGCCCATCAGACCAAACCCCTTTCTAGGACTGAATGTTAAAGGGAACCAGTGAGTTGTCTTGTAAGGCTTGCTAGGAAACATCTTGGTCTACTTGAGAATGGACTTGGGCAATGAGGCAATGAAGACACAGGCTGAGTTTGGACATGTTCTATTGGCAACCATTGACTTTGAGATGAATGGAGCAGAAGGACTGGCTGGTCTGAAGTGCAGGGAGTTGAATGAACTTCTGAGCCCACAGGTACTGATCTATCCCGTGGGGGCTAGGGCTGAGAGTGATGGGGTCAGCTGGTCTGAAGTGGAGAGAGGTTATGTGAACTCCCAAATTTGCAGCTGGTACCCATTTGACCTAGTTTGGATGACTAGGGTTGAACTGATCAAAAACTAACCAGATGAAGATAAAGTTGTTTGATACTGTGACCAAGTATAAATTGGTATAATTTGTTGGACTGTACTTTTGCTTATGGATGCAGTTTGCTCAAAATTCCAACCAGAATGGAAAGTTCTACAGATCAAGGAACATGCTTGTGTCCTCAGTGTGCTGAGTTGATAGGGATGGGCAATTTAGGCACTGGTTATCAAAAATGGAGGCTATAAAGGCATGAAGCGACTGGCTTATACACTTTCATGAGTATGCTTAGTTTCAGAATGAAGGGAATATTGTAGAATCGCCACTGACAAGTTTTCCTCTTTTTCTGAGGGGTCTGGTGAAAGGGGGTGATGATTATATGATTTTGTGATTTTAATTGTGAATAATTGTTAGTAGGATTATTTGTGTTAGTCAAAACTAATTGTAGAAGATATGTAACTAAAAGGGGGGAATAGTTCATCTTTCATTTCAGGAATAGATGATACTAGGACTATCAAGAAGGAAGACCATAAATGGAGTGTGGGATTCCTGCCTGGAAAAGTGGCAACAGTAAAGATAGTGGCAGAGGCATGGAGAGCCAGAGCAGCTTCAGACTTTAGGTTCATGGACTGAGTAAGGTTGTGTGCCTATCGGCAGGAGGCTGGCTTGCAGAACGTGCCCTTTGGACATTTAAATGAATATATATTTTTTGTTTTGTTTTGTATGTGTGCATCAAATAATTTTGCTTTGTTCATTTGTGGCCTATAAGATGTAAATAGTTTCAGTTGTACATGTTTTGGTTATATCATGTTAGGCTCAAGTATGACTTTATAATATCTTTATTTAGAGATTATATAAATAGTTTATAGGTATCAAGTTGACAAGCATGGACTATAATAGTTAGGGTTCTGTGTCAACTTGACTAGACCATGATTCCCATGGCTTAGGAGTTAATATGAGCTTATTCCCATGGTGATGAAACCTAATTCAGGCAGAGTTAACTCTATGATAAGTGGTTATGAGCAGCCAATCCATTGAAGGGATGCTTCCTCGAGGTTGTGGCCTGCTCCCAATATAATGGACAGGGGGGAAAGCTTGCTCTCACTCTTCCATTGGGGACCCAGGACTCTGCAATTGTAAGCCACTTCCTTGATAATAAACTTCTCTCCTTTCTATACATATATATGTTTCACTGGTTTTGCTTCTCTAGAAAACCCAACCTAAGACATCCCATATAACCTTAACTTGTTACTCTGGAGTCAGTTTCAATTCATGGCGATCCCATGTGTTACAATGTATAATTGAGGTCCATAAGTTTTTCAAGGCTGTAACTTTTCAGAAACGGATCTCCAGGCTTTTCTTCTGAGGTGCCTCTGGGTAGGTTCAAATACCAACCTTTCAGTTGGTAGTTAAACTCTTAATCCTGTGTGCCACCCAAAGGGATTCCACTTCCTTTTATTTTTACCCACTGACTGAAAAACTGGTACACTGGTCCTAACTGGCATTGCAAGGGCCCCCTGGATGGTTTTTAGTTCCAAGGCAGTTTTCAGGAGGAGAAGCAGTACCTTTAATCTTTGATTTCCTTAGTTTATTTCGCTGCTCCTCTTTAGAGGTACGAATTCCCAGGCTCAATGCCTAAGGCCTCTCAATCTTTTTAATGATCCTGTTTACTTAAGTACCAGGCATTTTTTTTCAAGTTGCTTAAAGCCCAGCTCTGTTACAGATAAGTGTCTCCCAACTGAGTCTTTTAGTTTGCATTTTGCCCAAGGTCATTTTCATTGCTAGTCCTTCCTTGCTAGTCCACTGAGAGCTAGAGTGTGTTAAAGATTCGCTTCACTAATTCATAGCCAGTTTGGAAGCTTTGTTTTGACCCTGACTGCAAGGTCTCCTTGTGGAACCATCCTGGTTGCACTCCCAGGAATTAAAACTGTCTTCAATTGGCTAAAAAACAGAATTTTGAAACTAATGGTGGAAACAGTTCCCAATTTGGGCAAGACTGGTTACAGTGGTATATATACTAAGTTTTATTATCAGAATAGATGTTTGCTTTCAGTTATGTAGGTTCGGACTAAAACCTCATATCTTCAAGAGTGTTCTCCATATTTAATTATTCTTTATTTTAATCTGCCTATGGAAGTTGGTCTAGGACATATCATTGGTAGGGGGAAATTATTTTCTTCCTTTGGTGATGGTGAAGTGACTTTTTTCTAGGTTTAAATCCTGATATAATGACTATTTTTATTTTCTTAGGAAGTTGTCATTTCACTTTGAATGACGCTATGAAGAGGCTATTCCCGTATGTGATTGGAAAGTTTCTTAGTTAAGAGCCTAGGTTGTTGTACCACATTGAGAAGATGTATTTGACTTTTAGAAGAATGTAAATTACTTTGGCTGTTGAGTACCTTTTTGACATATACATTATAAATATGGAGTCCTGGCCGGAACTATAGAATAAGCACTGGATTGCTAACAGCAAAGTTGGCAGTTCAAACCCACCAGCCACTCCCTGGAAGTCTTATACAGGATGACTATGAGTCATAACATAATCATATACATATCATAAGAATAGTACAAATTTAGTTTTGAGGGGAAATGAAAGTGCTGAGATTATAAAGCAAGAGGTATGCCTGTTGTTTGTCTTTGATGTACAAAAACTATAACTTGTCTGTTTTAGATACCTACCTTTTAATAATGTGATCCATAACTTCTGAGAAGTCCTTGTGATGCAAATGGTTAATGTACTTGGTTGCTAACAGAAAGGCTGATGGTTCAAGTCAACCTGAAGGTGCCTTGAAAGATAGGATGACAGTCTACTTCATAATAATCAGTCACTGAAAACCAAACCAAATAATTCTACTCTGACATATATGGTGTTCCCGTGAGCAACTGGTTTGTTGGTTAGCTCTAACTTCCCAAGGTTTGTTCTTTGTTGTTTTTGTTGATATATATGTGTGTCGCTGTGTGTGTGTTTTTAAAACTTTTTATTGTGAATTGGGTGAAGGTTTACAGAACAGATAGTCAGTTTTACATTCAATAATAATTCATACACATTTTGTTTATTCTCATTGGTTGCAATCCCATCCAGGTAACATCACTTATCCCACTCCCTCCCTGTGTTTCTTTTGTCCATATCTACTTCTTTCCTGACCCTCTTAGCCCAAATGTTTCTTTTATCGAGTGTGATTTTAATTGGACTCTTATTCTGGTCTGAGAGTTCAACTATTTACTTTAAAAACAAAACAACTGAAAACAACTTTGACAATAGCTGTCTATTTCCAGATCAAGTTGTTGGGCTCCAGCAGAATGAAAGCCCTCCAAGACTTTGGTGAGGTTATATGGCAGCAATTTAGCAAGCCTCGTTTTGCTATTCACGATGACACTCGCATTTCTGGTTAAGTATTTTGAGTTGCTTAAATCCTGTTAAGACTGGATCACAGATATGGAACCAGCTGCAAAATGAAAGATGGTTTATTCTTAACTCTGTTCTAAGTGCTCAGCTGTTGTTAATTCCATTTTGTTCACTTTTTATTATCTGATGCATAAATTTCACTTCCTCTTTATTTTTAATTTTTGTTTTTGGATTGAATATGAGACCAGAACACTACTGCTTAATGATCTATTTGCCGTGATTATGTTCCATATTTCTACCTTTCTATTTGTGTGTTGAGATAGATGGGCAGTGATTTTCTTCCTGATGAATTGTGAGACTAGAAGATTAAAAAAAAAAAAAAATTCAGGTCAATGCTATTAACTAAGCTGGAATGCCAGGTTCAGTTGTTTAAAAGAGTCCAAGTAAATAAAAACATGTTCCAAATTGAGCTCAGGAGTAGAATGACTTACGCCTGTGTAAATGGGACATCTATTTGGAAGCAACCAATTTGAAATGACCTATTGAAATAAACAACAGCTTAGACATTGGCCTGCCTGTCTATATAGGAACTGTTTCATAGTCAACACAAATGCTGGGCAGTGAAAATAACAGGGAACTGGCAGTTAACAGGATTGGGTGCCAGTCCTGGAACCATCCTTAGCCAACTGTGTGACCTTCATCAGTTCCATAACCTTTGCATTTTACCCAGTACCATTATCTGAATTGTGAGGGAGAAGAAAAAGGGGTTCCTTAAGAATCCTTTCCAAACTACTCAAAAGTGTGTTCCAGGGCGTCTTGTTTCAGTTTATCATACCTACCTCATGTAAGCTACATCTACTTTTTTTTTTTTTAAGTTTTAATTGTGAATTATGTGATTGTTTACATGGGAGAACATTAGCTTTACATTCATCCTATTGTATATTGTTTCATTGCCATGGTTACAATCACCTCCATGCATCATCAAACAACCAAAGGGTACATCCCACAAGCCTGCCCCCTGGTTGTCAGCACACAGCCCCTCTCCCTCCCTGGGTCCAGAGTCCCAAGCCGTGCCATCTCTCCATGTCATCTCTCTCTGCCTCTATCTCTGGCGTCACTGCTTCTCTGGGTAGGGTCTTTCTTTTTGCTCTTCTCCCTTGATGGTCCTAGGGACCGCCTCTCCTGAATTGCAAAGTCAACAACTCCCTTCCTTTTTTTTACAAAAAAATCTACCTTTACATTTCCAATCCTCACAAGCAGTCCTGATAGCAATTATTCACTATTGTACCACAAGAGTCTCATCCCCATCTCCTTTCATCAGCCCCACCCAGACAGATTGGATACTACTCAGTGGAGATTCTACTTTCCTCCACATCTTCTGGATCTAGGCTCCCTCTTGTAAGCTGGTAAGCTAGTCACTTCTTGCATTTGTAGCACCCCATTTTGGGTAGCCAATGTCCAAGTTGCCCATCCCTGTCTACTCTATGTATTGAGGGGGTGGAAATGATCCTTGCTGTGAAGATTTGTTCTTTCTTTTGAGCTACTGCATCCATAGGTACAGGTCAAGTTCATCAAATTGTATCAGATTATTCTTTTTTTTTTTCCACTTCTTTCTTCTTCTAGTCGAGTTCTGCTCATCCAGCTATTGAATCCAGGTCAAGTGGATATTATCTGTAAGTGTGGGTGTTCTTGTGCATCTCCCCTCACCTCTTATCAGCTGGACGCTTCACTCTCCACTCTAGTTACATTTACCTTTGAGACCATGTTTTCAGAAATGTTCCAAACATTTCTTTATTTACTTGTCTCTGGTCCTGCATGTTAATCCCCTCAAGCATGAACTGTAAACCTTTGGACCCAAAGACCACAAAGACCACACTCTATCCTCCTAGACTTGGCCCAGATCCATTTTGCTGTTTTTGTTCTTGACATACCCCATCAGAATTTGATTCTGTTATTCTGATCCATATTCTAGTACTTCTGTCACAAGATTACTGTGAAAATAAAATGAAATTGTATTTAAAATGTAGGAATTTTTCCTTCCTAAATCAACTCTCCCTTGGTTTTCTCGTACTTTGACTTGTCTTATTTTTGGCCTCTTAGCCATGTTTTGGCCTCTGTTAAGGACTCCCTGCCTTTATCTACTGTACAGGTTACTAGCTTTGCCTTTCCCCAAACCATACTCCTGTTCTTCTTGGGAAAGAGGCTGCCTAATTAGAGATCACATTTCCCAGCTTCACTTGCATCAAGGTGTGACCATGTGACTAAGTCCCACCAATGGGATACGAGTGGAAATGATATCATCCACTCTGGTATCACTTCCTTACAAGAACATTGCTTGCCTTGGGCTTCCTATTTAGCCCTGCTTATAAGTGGAAACACACATGTGCTACTGACTCAGCCTTGACCATGTACCTGAGGACAACATACTTGGGGTTGGCAGAGCTATAAGAAGGAAGGAGTGTGGTTTCCCGATGAAGGCCAACAAATTAAAGAGAAATAAATTTGTATCTTATGTAAGCAGCTATATTCTTTATTATGGCAGGTTAGCATATACCCTAACTAGTTTATTTCATTTACTGGGACTCTGTTCTCACTGGGATTGTTCTAATATACACTCACCCTACTATGGGACAGGTAGAAAGATTACCCAGATATAGTCTTTACTTGTTTCCTTGAATAAATTGGCTTTTATGTAGATTTAAATTAATATAATTCTTCATTTTATATGAATCATGCACATTTTTCTTCCTATTATTTTCTAAAAGTCAACATTCTGTGTCAAATGCATTTTGTGTTGCTGTTGTTGTTAGGTGACATTGAGTTGGTTTTGATTCACAGTGCCCTATGTACAACAGAACCAAACATTGCCTGAGTCTGCACCAGCCTCACAATCTTTCCTGTTTGAACCCAGTGTTGTAGCCACTATGTCATTCCCTCTCATTGAAGGTCTTCTTCTTTTTTGCTCACTTTCTACTTTGTCAAGCAGGATGACCTTCTTCAGGTAATGGTTCCTCCTGGTATCATATCTGAAGTGCATGAGATGAAATCTCACCATACTCACTGTCATGGAGCATTCTGTTTGTACTTCTTCCAAGACAGATCTGTTCATTCTTCTGCAGTCCATGATATACTTAATATTCTTCACCAACACTACAATTCAAATACATCGATTCTTCTGTCTTCCTTATTTATTGAGTAATTTATTTTAATTGGCCATTATTGCATAGAAGGTATTTCTTATTTTACATGTATTGCATAGAAGGTGTTTCTTACTTTACACATTTCTTATTTTACATGTATTTCTTATTGTACATGTAGAAACTAGCTAAACATGTGAGTTTTATAGCTAAGATATATGTCATCATGACCATCTTTTCATTTTCTTAGTTTGTGTCTCTGTTCTCACTGGGACTGTCTTCTGTCTGGGACTCAGTGCTCACGGGAGCTTTAAAAGGAAATAAAAAAATGAGTACTTTATACCTGAACTCTGCCTCATTTACGCAAGATCATTCTAGGTGTATTTTCTTTGGTCAAATGACTGGAAAGTATCTTGTGGCATTATGACTTAGGAAAAGCCCACTCACACTGTTCTTAGGTTCTACCATCAATATTTGAGTGACTATTCCTGGGTAATAGCTCTGGTAGCGTAGTGGTTATGAATACGGCTGTGAACCGCAAGGTCAGCAGTTCAAAACAACCAGCTGTTTCGTGGGAGAAAGATGAGGCTTTCTGCTTCCGTAAAGATTTACAGCCTTTGTTTGTATTAGGTTGTGCTTCCACCACAAAGCTTACTAGTCTGCATGGATCAGAATCCATCTGAACACTCTAGCTGAATGCCTTCAGCAATAAGGATCACAACGTCTTATCTTTTTTAACCTGCATTGCTTAAAACAGCTGTGATTATTATATATATTATAATGTAACAACAAAAGCAAAATGGGAACAAGATTCTCAGAGAGAATTGTAAGCAATGTCCACTCACCAGCTGTGAGAATCCTTGCTGCAAAGCTTGGTATTCCAGAGAACTCTCATTGAAGAGGTCATTAGAGAATGGTGTGTCAGCAAAATGCAGATTGAAGAACACTACCAGCTCTTGGTCTTTGGAGGCAATGATCATAGAGTTAGTGAGGATATACTGAAAAACTGGAACAGGTGTGGTATTCTCCAAAAAATGATATGAGGTAGAGACATAACTTGTGTCATGGTACATCAGACAAGGCAGGAGAGTTGGACAGACTCATTACATCTAGGTCTCTGACCATAAACTAATTGTTCATACTTAAACCTCTGGCTTCTGAAGATGCAGGGGGATGTGAAATTTCCATAGCAGATTGGCTGATGGCAGAGTAATCGTCAGTGGGGATGGTTATACCTGGGACAGATGCTGTTGAGTCAATGGCCATTACGTCTATGACACTTTGATCAATCAAAGAGAAGACTCTTGATCCAGTAAAACAAAGGTCGAGTTTCTGATTGGAAGGTGGAGGCCATAGCAGGAGAGACCAAGAACTGTCTGTGGAGGAAGCTTCTGAGACCAGTTACATTACGTGTAGGTGTTCCACAAAGAACGGAAAGAAAAAAAAGAAAATCCAGTTATGTTTGACTTTGAAAATACAGAGAGTTTGTATTGGTCATTTAAAAAGTCAAAATTTAAAACTGACACTTGGCATAGAAATGTCAGGCCATCCTGTGTTTAACCCTATGGAAGCAGAGGGTGGGTTTCTATAGTCCAGCTTTATTTGGAACAGTGAGCAACAGCTACCTAGAATGGTTGGAATGACTCACAAGCCAGACACAGTATACCTGGAGACAGGTAGTACAAAATGACCAGATCACCAGCTAGTGCCACCAAACTGCTGCAGGCATTGGAATAATTTATATGATCATATCTCCCCTCCTGCTCCCCAAGCCTCCCTCTCCCCTGTCCCCCAACCAGCTAGCTGCATACAGTTTTGGTCCAATCATTTTATTCACCTTATAGTAATGCAATCTTGCATTTTATATAACTGAATTTTTTAGATCCCAGTTACACCACTGGTAGTTTTATTACTTATATTATGGAGGGAAGGGAGAATAATTCACTGGCTAGAAGGGAGATACGTGGTAACTTGAGTGCCAGGGAAGGCAATATATATAAAAAATTAAATGATAATATCCATAATTGGATGGAGTCCTGGTGTGGCACTGTGGAATGATGCAGTGGACCATAAGGTCAGCTTGAACCACAAGGTTGATGGTTCAAACTCATCAGTTTCTCGTTGGAAACATCATACAGGGTCACTATGAGTTGGAACCAATTTAATGACAACATAGATGGATAATTTGACTGACTAATTTGACAATTTGAAGATGTGTTTGTGAGTGTAAAGATACAGATAATACATACACACACACACACACGTCGAGTTGGTTCTGACTCGTAATGACCCTGTACAGGGTTTCCAAGACTATGAATCTTTACGGGGCAGAAAGCCTCATCTTTCTCCCATGGAACAGCTGGTAGTTTCGAACTGCTGACCTTGAGGTTCGCAGCCCGATTTGTAACCACTATGCTACCAGAACTATACTGCATTTCTTATTGAGCAAGTTTTTGTTGTTAGTTGCTGTTGAATTGATTGGGACTCACGGCAAACCCATGTGTGCAAACAGAACTGCTTCATAGGGTTTTCAAGACTGATCTTTCAAGACTGTTTCCTGAGATGGCTTTTAACTGCCAACCTTTTGGCTAGTATTTAAGTGCTTAACTATATGTACCACCCAGGATTCCTATATTGACCAAACATCTTTCTAAATATTTAAGGGTTTTTATCACTTTTATGTTAAAAAACCAAATCAAACCCGCTGCCATCGAGTTGATTTGGCCTCATAGTGACCCTGTAGGATGGAGTGGAACTGCTTCATGAGATTTCTTATGACTGTAAATCTTTACAGAAGCAGACCACCTCATCTTCCTACCACGGAGTGCCTAGTGGGTTTAACACTGGACCTTGTGGTGGTTAGCATCCCAGGGCTTATCTCATTGTGCCGTCAGGGCTCCTTTACTTTTACATTGTTGTTGTTGTTGTTAAGTGCCATTGAGTTGGTGCTAATGCACAATGACCCTATCTATATAGGATTTCTGAGGATTATCTAGTGAATTTGAACTGCCAACCTTTTGGTTAGCAGTCCAGTGTTTATCCGACAGAGCCACACCAGGACTCTTAATTTTACATTATTCTCTAATAATTTCTGCATTCCTTTCCTGGATAAGTGTACTTTGAGCTAATAAAGTCAACTCCTTTTTTGGTGCAAAATTAAAAATCAATAAGGGTTTATGAATTAAGAATGTGCTTATATGAAAATTTCAGATGGAAAAGTTTGGTGGATTATTAAAATATTCCAAAAATCTAGACCCAGAACCTCTGACTTTATTTAAGGCTTTTTACATAGATCAAATCCTGTGCAGGGTCGGAACTGACTCGATGATACTTAACAACAATGACATCATGTAGATCAAAACAGGAAGTTTTCTGTGATTACTTTGGTAGCATTCTGGCAAACATGTGGTAAAACTGCTGAAATCCAAATGCTGAGCATGATAAATGGTTCTCCATCAGCTAATTATTACAGCACCATCACCAAAACTGAAACTCAAAGTAATGAACCATTCTGAAAGGTAGAATTTTATTACTTTCTTCAAATAAAGTCAGCTTATTGATGAGTTCCTAGTGTTGTTGTAGGATAAGCAATGAACAACTAATCCCAAGGTTGACAGTTCAAACCCACCAATTGCTCCATGGGAGAAATATGAGGCTTTCTGTCCCCATAAAGAGCCTTGGAAACCGTATACAGAGTCGCTATCCGTTGGAACCAACTTGGAGGCATACAGCAATAATTGGTGAGTTATGCTCAGATGTCAGAGAAGTGCTTGCTTTTCTCTTCACCTGGGGAGGACCCGTCTAGGTGTACTCATACCCACAACTCAGCTACCAGGAATGATATTTCCAAGCACTCTCTGGATATACATTTGTGGTTTTATTCACAGCTACATGGAAAGCTCTGGGGTGAGTAAACTGAAAGGCTTCAAGTGTTACCAGTGATTTGATCTGACTTGTTTTTTCTATAGGAAAATGAGTTTGGATTCTGCTCCTATGGCATGAGCTCTGGCTTTATAAGTGACGAGGGTTGGGCAAATAGAGACAGAATGAAGCACATATCTTAATTCTGCTCATGGGCCAGAATCTCATTACTCAAACCTATATCATTGTATAGATTTTTACCAATCAAAATACCCTATGGCACGATGTTGTCAACCAACAAGATGAATTTCTAACCCCTTTGTTTTGTGTCAAGGAGCTCTGGTGGTACAGTGGGTGAAGCATTGGGTTGCTAACTGAAGGGTTGGTGATTCAAAACCACAAACCCCTTTTCTAGAGAAAAATGTCTACTCTTGTAAAGATTCACTTTTGCAAACCCCATGGAACAGTTCCACTCTGACCTATAAGGGATTATGAGTCAGAAGCAACAGTGGTTTTTTTTTTTTTTGTTGTTGTTGTTGCTTTGTGGCAGGAGGCCTCAGAGTGCAGTGGGTTATGTATTGGGCTGCTAACCAAAAGGTCAACAGTTGGAACCCCCAACTTCGGAAAGATGAGGCAGTTGGCTTCTGTAAAGATTTACAGCTTCAGAAACCCTATGGAGCAGTCCTACTCTGTCCTTTTTATGTTGTTGTTGTTGTCAGGTGCCATCGAGTCAGAACCGACTCATAGCAACCCCATGCACAGCAGAACGAAACAATGCCCGATCCTGGGCCAACCTCACTAC